TAGCAGGCCCTTCCTGTCAGATGCCCGAGAATCTGGTCCCCACAGACAGCGCTGAGCAGAGAACTGAGGTCTGGAGGAGGACGACAGTGGAGGACCTGAGGGGGGTCGTCCAACGCCGGAGCTGCTTCTGGATGGGAGCTGGCAGGCTCCTGCGATGCTGGGTGAAGGTGAGGAGGAGGAACGGTTTTGCTGAGGATGGTGCTCCAGTGAAACCTGGTTGGAGTCGACCTGTTGGTGGCAGGGGTCTGGGTGTGGAGCTGGGAGCAGCTGTCGCAGCAGCACGGGGCCGATATTGTGTGGGTTTGGGCCATCGGCACACACCTGGAAGAGACCGCACAGCATCCGGTACCACGTCCACCTGTCCCCTGCCCGTCACCCCGTGCACGTTCACTGCTCTCCAGAATGAAGAGCTGTAACCCCACCTTGAAAGCCTGAGCCATTCCCGGATTCTGGAGGGCAGGCTGGGCAGATCCCCGGTAGGCAGATGGCTCACGGGGGGCACCCATAGGGGAGAGAACAGGCCCAGACAGGAGGGGACGTGTGTCCAGCCTGCGCTGACCCCGGGCTGGTGCCAGAGCACTGAGTCCAGCAGGTGGTGAAAACGAAAGGCCTGCAGCCCGGACGTCTCCTTAAGATGCTGCTGGGCAGGGGGTGAGGGGCAGAGACACTGCAGCCTCAGTAGGACTGGAGCTCGAGGCCCAGGGTGGATACGTGTGTGGTGCAGCCCTTGTCAGAGCGTTTGGAGATGGAGGAGTCAGTGGGATGGCTGTGGGGCCAGACAGAAGAAAGGAGGTCTCCTTTGTAGCAGCCAAGAGAGTTCACTTCTCAAACAGAACTTTGACAGTCCTGGGCTTCTCTGAACCACCAGGGGTGGTCGACAAGAGGCTGGTTCTTAACGTCTGCCAGTGGCTGGGTCGTGGCGGTGGGGCCTTGGTACCGTGACCCGATTTCCCCCTCGGGCGAGTGCACACAGTCCAGGCCGGGTGGTGAGTAACAATCCTGACGGCGACACCCCTGGAACGTGGGTCCTGCCCCAGCTGTGCAGTCGGTGTTCACACACAGTATCTCACTGAGCTCCAGATAACCCCAGAGGCCGGGGCCCCTCCTGTCCCCTCCCCCTCGTGAGAGAGGGGCCAGTAAGAGCTTGCCCTGCACCTGTCCCGAGTTCAAGTTCATGATCAAGCATCCTGCAGGTTTAGTGTGGTCATCGGCCTTTTCTTACTGAACTAAAAAGCCCCGTCTGAACCCGTCTCCACAGATCCTCCGGCCGAAGTGGCCTCCTTTTCGTCTTCCATTTCAAGTGTGTTTTCTCAGCTGACTGGGTCGTGGGCAAAGTGACATCACCATCTGATCCATATCTGAAAACATTCTGGCTCAGTGAAAACAGAGCAATTTGGAACGGGCTCCCTTAATTGCATTTGACCATTTTGGCAGCTGCCTGCACACCCGGGGAGCTGGCCGTTCTGCAATTTGTTTTGAAAACAAGCTTTTCAGTATCTGGGCTGCGAGGATTCTGTGTGAAGGGTGTACACTGTGAATCACAGTTTCAAAGGAAGACAGCAAACACAGATCATAGCCAAGTGATTTGTATAACTGGATCGCTGACAGAAATCCGGGAAGCAGCAAAAAAAACAAGCAAGCACAAAGACACAGTCAAGCACCCGGCGGGAGTCGGCGTGCACCCAGGGAGGGGGCCCGGGGTGAGGGGCTGGGAGCCCGGGGTCTGGGCTCAGGGTGCTGGGCTCGCCCGCGCTGGGGACACGAGCCACCTTCCACTGCTCCTAGCAGGTTTTCAGTTCTTCCAGGGAACAGGGAACAAAATGTCTCTTTAATTAGATCCAACTAGACTCACTTAATTTTATTCTCTAATTGCAGTGTAGCTGATTCACAGTGCTGCGTTGGTTTCAGGTGCCCAGCAGGGAGACTAGGGCACACACACACACATATAGTCTTCTTCAGGGTCTTTTTCATTGTGGGTTTTTACCAGCTATTGAATAGAGTTCCCTGAGCTGTACAGTAGGACCTTGTTGTTTATCTCTTTTATATCCTGTAGTTAGTGTCTGTTAATCCCAAACTCCTAGTTTATCCCTCCACCCAACTGCCATAAGCTCAGTCAGTCCAGATCGCGTCGGCGACTCCTTTCACGGATGCTGTGGTCTCTCTTAAATAATGAGGAAAACAGTAGCTAACACTTGAGACTTCGACCTTCAACACATGTCGAGTCTCTCGGTTCTCGCCGGCATGTGAGCTTGGCCAGGGCAGGCACCTCGATCGGCTCTTCATTGCTCAGTGATGTCGCTACACTTCCTGGAACAGCGCTGGGTGCACAGTAGGTGCTCCTGAGACGTTTGGTGGTTAAACGGACGGACGGACAAACCGACACCTGTTGCGCATCGGCAGGTAGTTCTCTCAGTGCCTCATGGGTCCCGCAGTCCCAGGAAGTAGCCATTTATTATTGTCCTGTTTTACGGGTGAGCCCAATGAGTCCCAGATAAGGGACTCAGCACGCCCGTGGTCACACGGCTGTCGGCGGCAGAGGCAGGGTCGGGCCCAGACAGCTCGAGCCCGGAGTCCGCTTCTGCACACGGTTGGTCTTCAAGCTTCGCGCTCACACTTTGGTTTCCCGCCATCTCCCTACGTTGAATTCCCTTGAATGCTCTGCTAACAGGCCAGGCTAGTCTACACCAAAGCCTTCTTTACGTGCAAAAGAAAATCTTTATTTTGCTCTTTTTAAAGCATTGAATATTCTTTGCTTATGCCAGAGGGCTTTGAATTTGTTTAGATGTAGGAAAAAAGTAAGACTAGAAAACAGAAATATTACCTTAAGAAGAACCTTAAATTTATATTTTCTAATAGGTGGTATCAGCTATCACTATTTTATTCATAAAAATGTATTTATATTCAATTTTGTCTGTGACACAGAATAAAAAATTATTTCTAAGAAGTAATATGAGGCAAAGCTACCCAGGCCATAAAAGTGTGAATCTCAGTCTTTAATCCATAATTTTTACACAGCCTCACTGACTCTTGAGGGCAATTTTCTCTCTTTAAGACGGTCAGGTCGATTAAGTGGCGCTGTGTTTGAGAGGCACAGGCTTACCACTGAAGAGATGGATAAAAAGATATTATTTAACTGCAAATTGAAGCCTGTGCCGAGCTGTATCTTTTTCACAATAGAGACTCCTTATAGTGCGGATACATTTAGGTTTGCTTCCTCAGGCAAAGGAAAATCAAGGGCAGTGTCTGTCTCACCGCGATGGTCTCCCCTCGCTGTGTTCTGCCGAGCTCGCCGATGGAAACGCTTCAGCCTGACTTTGCACTCAGGGTTAACGTCCAACCTGAAAGCGCCTTGTGTGGTGAAGCGCCGCCCCCACCTTTGCCACCATGTCCTGGCCTTTCCCAACCCTGGTGCCCGTCCCAGTTGACAAAAGTCCTGCTCCAGCTATCACCAGCCCCACAGATGTCCTGTCTTTTGTATTTTGGAAGAGGACGGTAAGAGGAGGTAGGACAACTTTGCTAAGGGTGTGACCATCTCCTTTACATTTCTTGGGTTTCTGACTCCAATCCAGCGGAACCTGGAGGTAAGGGAGGACATTGCATTAAACCCAGCCCTTCATTGGTGGTGATTTTTGTACGTGACACCA